TTTATATGGTTCTGGCGACAAGATCATTTGGATCTTCTTTCAGATACCAAGTTTATATATTGTTATATTGTTATATTACGATTAATAATTGTAAACTGAAAAAAAAAAAAAAAAAAAAGTAATATGTGGCCTTGGCATTGCTATTTTTGGCCTTGTTAACAACTCTGCCTATGGGTATTGAAATAACGACGAAAATTGCAAAATAAAAATTTTTTAAATTGTTATTTAGGTGCCCCAAGAAGACCGAACGGTCTTGTCACAGAGCACCGCGGAAGTTCATTTAACCAGGAAGTTCACGCCTCCTTCCTTGCCGTGACCCGAAAATATGTCCAAGGTTTGTTTCGAACCTGTATCTCCTGCTTATAAAGCGAGCGCTCTAACCACTGCGCCACGCCCGCAATATAACCTGATATAGGGTAGATTAGGTTAATATGAGCACATTGATAATATGAGCATAGTAAAAGATTTTTAAGATGTAATTTGTAATTAAAGTTGCTTCGTATTTTTTGAATCGACTTTATGTGGTGATAACAGGAATCATTATATTTAGCCTAAATTTATATGCAGTAATTCTAATTAAAATGCTATTCAATTTTTTGTTTTGTTAAAACATTTTCATCACACATGAATAAATCTCTAGCGCGAAATTTTGATGCTAAAATAAGGAAATTCAATTATTCATAAAGAAAAGTATGCTAGTTTGAAATCTGTTCCGTTTTTGTTTGAAAAACAATTCACAGAAAAATTTTGTTTTGACATTATTTAAAGATACCATTTTTGTATAACATGAGCATGCTTAAATTACCCAGTGTTTTTCATTAAAATCAACTAGTTTAAAGTCCTAAAATTGCTATGGTTTTAAGTACTAAAATTAGCAAGTGGTCTGGGTTATTTTAGCACTTTTGCCACATTTTTAAAAAGCTAAGCAAACTAAATAACTAAATTGAGTCTACTCAATCTATATACGTATAAATATATATATATCAAATCTACGGTCTAGCGTTTAATTTTTCACCGCACAGGCGCCATTTTGAATGGCGCCTGTGCGGTGAAAAAGGAAAACTGTAATTGGTATTTCTAACTGTAGTTTGTATGGTTTGAAAGCTGTAATTGAAGTAGATTACTCTTTTTAAAGTTGACTGGATAAGTTTTTAACAGCTATTCAAACTACTAAGAAGTAATCACACAAAAATTACTAGGTAAAAAATCTAGGTAAAGTTTTTCGTATACCTTGATAGTAGAAATAAATACCAAGTTTTAGACGATCTCTGCTACATATAATCTTTCAGTTTCATTTACTAAAATAAATGAGTATTATGAAATTCAAAGTTATTTTTATTTATAGTGACATAAAAAATATTTGTATACAAGGTATGTATTGTCAAGGTATGTATTGTCAGAAAAATAAAATAAATAAAAAGGAGGGATGAGGGAAATAACACCAAATATATTTAAAGTATAAATTCTCATCAAGGTTTAACGCAATCAATAAATTTTTATTAAATTAAATATCATCTTTTTTTGTAATTAAATTACATTTGACATATAATGTCAAACGCCATTACTAACATATCGATCACTTCTAACTCTTTTTAATACAAAAAATTTCATATATTTTTAGTTGTTTACTTAAAAATAAATAATTATTAGAAAATTAAAATCTAATTTTCATTTAAAACAATAAAAAAAATTTTTTGTGTAAACAGTTTTTTAGATAAAAAAAACAGTTATATTGTTGGTAGGTCCGGCGCAAGTAGGTGTCACGTGGGGTAAGGTTGGGGGTGACATTTTTTCCATTACAACTTTTGCCGACTGAAAAAAAAAGGTCCTCGTTTTTTAAAAATTGGCCGACTGCCTTATCGACATTTGCCGATTAACTGTCTAAATTTACTGACTAACTTGTCAAAAAGGCCTACATTTACCGACTAACTAGTCAAAAAGAGTCAGATTTGCCGACACACACACACACACCACCCCATTGCGCCGGCCTTGATTGTTAGAAGAATATAGTGCGTAAATATATACATATTGTAATGACTGGCGCCTAGGAACAAAAATAAATTAAAAGTTTGCCATTCTCCTACTCAATGTAGGAACATTCAGCTCATAAATTATTGTTGATTTTGCATGGTCATATATTTTGAACACAAAAATATTTTTGAATAAAATTAAAAATCTGTTTATGAGTTTAAGTTTAGTATAAAATGGTAAAAAATATATTTGATTATCTGATTTCCCTCACTATTTTTCTAATCTGAAATATTAAAAAGTTATGCTGAAGCCCAGAAAGATTGATAGTAGTTACAAAAAAGAAATGGAAGAAGGCATTAAGCACCAATAATTTTTCAAGTTTGCGTTGTTATCATGGTTAGAGCGATTGTCACACTGCAACTCCACGACTTTAACATCAACCAATTCAGTTATTGCAATACATTTTACATGATATTAAATGTCAAAGGTATTGCAGCACATCCATTAATTACCTTTATCTCCATGTAAACCACATTTAAAACAAATATTGACATTGACGTCATCACCACAATCATTTATATTTGTAGCCAATCTTTTTTATTTGATGGATTTTTTCTTAATTTTTTTTTTTTTTTTTGAAGCTTCTTCTCTTGTTCATTCAAAACGTTAAAATTTCATCATATGATACCTCATAGCACGAGCAGATCTTTCAAAATAAGAATTTTTTGTAGATTAAGACTGAAGTGTTATTTCGGACAAAAAATTTGATTGAGGTGCCTTCTGAGAAGGGCACACAAATTGATGCTGACAAAGCAGATGATTTTGGTGGTAAGAAGAATGTATTGTTAACAAAAGTGTTTTGAAGGTTAGACATTGAACAGGATCTTTTTAGATGAATAGTGGAAAATGTGGGTTTTGTTGCTGGTGCGATTGGTAACTAAAAATACTTATTAAATAAGTGGGTGTCAATGACATCATTATTTTGAGAAGAAATTCCAATTTCTTTAAAACTAAAAAATTAGAAATATATTCGAAACCGTTTCAAAAAATATGGGCACTCCACATTAAGCTCCCATACTACTAGTAGTATAACCAGCTCCATTAGGGTTACTCTTATCCCAGTCCATATACAAAATTTTATCTTTAAAAATTACTAATGGTGGCAATACTTTCTCGCTAGCAGAGCAAGCACAATTTGTTCACAGCCTGAACCACTAATAGTCTTGTAGCACCTTTTTTTGCTAACACAACTTGTGTCATAGGGTTTGTGATAAATCCTGATTCATCAGAGGGAAATTTTCGACTGTGGAGGTAAAAAACTCCTGCATCTTATAAAGTTTTTTCAACTAAATTAAACTAGATTCTAATGGTCTATGGATTTTTCAGCATTACATCTTAAATTGCTTGAGTGTTTTTCTTGGTGTTATTTCCCTGCATGAAGGTGTTTTAGATTAACCTCAAATCAATTTTGTCTCTCACAAGGAGTACGGCAAGGTTCTATTTTATCGCCTCATCTATATAACATTTATACTAAAGCGTCCTAAATGGAATAGTCTCAGAATGCAATGTAGGATTGAGAATAAATGGCATCTATTCTGGCACCATTACATAAGCAGATAATGTAATTTTGCTAAGTCCTACAATCTTTGGTCTGCAAGAACTGTTTAACTTTTGTGCAACCTTTATCAAACTAAACATTGAGAAAACGAAATTTCTAATTTCTTGAACAAGTTTTGTTTCAAACAACGTTATTCAAATTAAAGGAACTTTAATATATCTTCAAAATAAATATAATCATCTGGGTTTCCAATTGGATAATAGTACTAACAAGAATAAGTTTGCAACACTTTTAAAAACAAACTTAAATAAGCTTATAGCTCAGTTTCAATTGGTAGCAATAGCTCTAATCGCATAGGAAGTGGTTTTTGCCAGTCGTCAATAATAGTTCATTTATATAACTCCTTAACTGTTCCAAAGATTATATATATATATAGTCTTGAGGTACGCAAAAATAACACTAGTTTCCGTAGTAACATTTAAAATCATTTTATTGTCGAAATATAGCAAAAACTGCCTGCGTTTTTTAAATAGGGGATATTTCAACTATTCTCTTCTGAAACAAAGTAAATCGATTTATATGGCAGTTGAAAAATCAAACTTGCTATTCACTGATAATAAAGCAATTTCTGGCAATACTTAATAAAAAAAATTACACAATCTATGGAAGAATTGCATGCGGATACCGCTCTAACCACTGCGCCACGTGCGGCCGTGGTGCAATGGTTAGAGCGCTTGCTTTATAAGCAGGAGATCCAGGTTCAAAATAAGCTTTGGACATATTTCGCGTTACGGTAAGGAAGGAGGCGTGAACTTCCAAGTTAAATGTACTTGCGCGGGGCTCCGTTTGGTCTTCAAGGAGCACCTAAATAATAATAATAAAAAAAAAAATTAGAATGAACTGCAAAAGTTTAAATTGAATACTATTCATTTTTTTGTTTTGTCTTGTGATGCGGCAACAGCAGTAAAAAGTCTTTACCTTTCAAGAAGAAATTTTTATTATTGTCATCATGCTCATGAACCAGAAATTAAAATTTATATTTATTACTAGACAAAAAACGATTTGATTTCCGTCAAAAAAGAGATGTTAAAATCTTTATGAGATTTGCAAAATGTAGGGAGTAATGATTGCCAACAATCTCTAGTTCAATCTATAAATGATCTATGATATAACTTACAACACGTAGAAATTTCTTTTTACTTTACAATATTTATTTTAGTATACCACATATTTTTACCAAAATAAAATATTTTGTCGTTAAAGTTTTTTTACAAATAAGTTATTATTAAACAAAGCTTGCATATAAATTAAAATGTTTTAAAATACATGAGACATATTTAATTACATAAAGTGCATTTATATTTTGCAAAAGCTAGTATTTTACGAGTAATAAAACCCGCATAGAATTTCAATAACTAGTAATATTTAAATATTTAGTTTATTTATTTTACATCTCTATTTGTATTTTTAGATTTTGCAAAATGAAATAAATCGTTTCCTACCTCTCGAGAATGTTTCTACATGCAACAATGAAGGTAATTTTAAGCACGCGTTTCCACATGTGCGCATTTGTTTATTTTTTTGTTTCTTTTATATATATATATATATATATATATATATATATATATATATATATATATATATATATATATATATATATATATATATATATATATATATATATATATATATATATATATATATATAATTTTTTAACTACATTGAAGTTGTGTCTTTTAACACGTAATGTTACTTTGAACGTTCCTACTTCAATTTGTTCCGTGTCCCATAAATAAAGAATCGAGCGTTTTTTCTGTGCGTTTGCTTTAACAAATAACGGCGGATACATTGTGAAAAAAGTTACTAATAGTCCGCGTTAATTACGGACCAATAAAAAGTTTTTATTACAGTCATTACTGGTAACTTTGAACGGTTTGCGCTAGATTTATCTCTACAAAAATTGTTTTACTAACTAGATAAATATTTTTACATAAAGGGTGTTTTGATGATCTCTTTTTTCTAGTTTGTTAACATTTTTTCTGCTTTTTTCAATCGGCTAGATATTATGTAAAATATATTGTTTTTTTCAATCTTTAAGATATATTTCTTTTTTCAATCTGCTAGATATTATGTAAAAAAACAATGTTCAAGTAGGCGTTCAAAGTTACCCTCGCAATTCGGGTAACTTTGAACACTATTACTCTGAATGTCAATTTTAATCTTTTAAATCTAAAAAGTTGATTAAATTTCTTTGTATTAGTTTAAATTAAATTTTAAAAAAATCTAGTTAAACTATTTCGAGAATAGACAAACAAGTTTTTCAATAAAATATTTCGAGAATAAACAAGTTTTTCATTAAAATATTCACAAAATAATTTTTAAGGTTATAAAAGAAAAAATAATTAAGACATTATTTTTATATAATTCTCCACAAATAAACACCATTGACTATAAAACTAAATATTAGTGTTTCATTCTTTTAGTCTTGAGTTACAACTAACTCTTTTACAAATTAATCATGATCAAGGAACACATGTACATAGTGATTGTTTATTTGCTCCAATGAAAAAACGGCATCATTTTAAGATACAGGTAAAACTTGTTCATTGTCTTCAATAACTTGATTAACATTTACGATGCTTGAACTTTGTAAAATATTAAGTTTTTTGTTTATTTTCATAACCATATTATTTGATCCAAGTGGTCTTTTTCTTTTCTTTGCTCGAATATTATCTTAACTTTTTTTTTTATTGTCTCTTTCCTTATAGTATGCTTCTACCTCAGTGGCTAATACACTTTTCCCTGCTGTTATTGGTAACTTAAATTTTTTGCTTACTTCATAATTAAGATGAATATCATCAACATAATTCCTAAACGATTCTCCAATATTGAGTTGAATATCTATATTTGTAAAACTGGGTAATTTGGAGAGAACATGTTCTGGTACAAATGGATATATGCCAGTAGCCTTAAATTCTGCTTGGAGATTATGTTCTAGATTTTTTTTACCAACATTAAGAGTAGATTTAATGAGCTGCATAAACAAATTTTTGGCAGGTTATTAACCTTTTTTCCTCTGGATGTTTTACGCCATTGATTAAGAACTGACCTCCAATTAGCTTTTAAACTCGAGAAATATCCAACATCTAAAGGTTGTAAAAGGTGTGTGCAATTGGGTACCAAACGTATAAATGTTATATTATGCTTTTCACATATATTTAAGGCTTTTAAAGATATATAAGCACTTAAATTATCGCAAATCAGAATTTTTTTACCTTCCTTATTTATAATATTTGGAACAAAGTGATTTAACAGCCACTCTTCAAATATTTGAATTTTCATCCAGCCACTGCAAGAAGTTGCCATTCTTGATCCTTCTGGTGCATTGAAAAGCCAGTCAGACCAACTGTGTTTTCCTTTAAAAATGAAAAATGGTGGAATTAGTTTTCCTGAGGCATTTCCACAAAAAAATAAAAGTGTAACAAGTTTTTGTTGTGTTTCTTATAAGTTCTGGATGGCGAGAGGATAGACGAAAAATAAGTTTTTTTTTCCAGGGTCATCATGAAACCATGTTTCATCCATATTGTAAATGTTATCTGGCGTTACTCCATTTAATTCCTTCTCTAGATTTTGAAAAAATAATTTTATTTGACAATAATTAATCTGTGCACGTTTCCTTGAAATACAATGAGATACTTTTTCTTTTAATGATGGATGCCTGTCAAGATAAAGTTTACACCACTCCCAACCTGGTCCGTTATCTTTAAAGTGTTGTATATTTTTTCCACTATCATCCAGATAGATTTTGACAATACTTTTAAAATCATTAATTCCAATTGGTATACCTTTGTCACTTAAATAAAGTAAGTAATTTTCAAAACAAAGTTTCTCATCAATGCTAAGGGCAATAGGGCGCCCTACTGATTTACAGTGTTTACTTTTTAGCTTATAAAATAATGTTGCTTTAGGTACTTTAAAAATTTTAGAAGCTTCACCAATCGATATTTTTTCTAATTTAATTTTGGCTAAAACCTCTTGAAGAATTAGAATTGGTGTAATTAGATTTAGTGCCATATTTTCTTGTGCCAGGATGAGTTGTCGAACATTTTCTTGGCATTTTATGAATGCTAAAAATATAAAGATGATTTATGTTATTAATGAAAATTATTTAATTAATTGCATATTTGCTATTAATAAAATATATTATTAAATCTATCAAGATAGCCATAAATATCAAAAATTAATATAATATAATAGTAATAGATATTATAGTTTTTGATATTTATAATATCATATATCATTATATAATAAAAATGCTATAATAAAAAGATGCCTATTATTTATTATGTATTATTGCAATGTTACTCATACATCAAAAAAAGCATTTTTGGAAAATATTGATTGTCTAAAGTTACCCTGAATTTGGTTATATTTTAGCTAAGTGGAAATAAATATCCTTTTTGTAGCAAAAGACATGTTAAATCCTATTATTTTGAGTTTGAATTACAGTTCGAAAAATAATTCAATAAAATACTTAAAAATCTATTCAGATAATTACAATATAATACCAAATATTCTAAATTGAAAACACACGATGTTATCACCACATTCGACTGTGTAACTGGAAATGGAGGAAAACATAATTTTTGAGAAATAAAATTTAATTTTCTTTGGTCAAACTTTTGTAAAAAAAGATAATTCATCATATTATTCTTTGTTAAAGCAACAGGCAAAGAAAATACCAAAGAAAAAAAATTTAAAAACATTTACACGTTTAGTTCGATGTTACCCGCAAATTCAAAGTTACCCACTAACTGTAGTTGATTTTAAAATTAACGCGCGTTTTTACGACGTTTTTCATAATGCTAATCTTTTTATACAGTAAGTTTTTGTAAAGTTGTTAAAGTTCCTTAATAAATTTTAAATATTATTTGAATATCCACTCTATTTTTCTAGATGCTTTTCTACTTCAATTAAAATATAGTTTTATTAATAAATACATTCTTATAAGTAACAAACTGGAGAAAACGAGTCGTCCCGTGCCACCGGACGACCATGAGGGTACACCAATGTCTAATTTTTTCCATTACGTAAATATTTTGATATAACGCAGTATTATTGACGACATTAGCTGACTTTCAGCAAAAATTAATCTTTCTTTGCAACGACATAACATAAAAAAGATATTTCGGAATTTATTTAGTGGGTGGACTATGAACATAATTTTTTATTTTAATTTTTGCAGTATTGTTACAATGGTTCTAGTGTATAAAAAAAATCTGGCTTGAGAAACTATAAAAACTTCTCAGACGATGCTCTACATAAGACTGTAGAAAAAATTGAAAAAAAAAAGAAATGTCCTTAGGCAAGCAGCTCCATTTTTTTAAATAATTGTTGGCATCTTGTCACCACGCTAAAAAAACCAGATAATCGAACCATTCTTCCTGCCACAGAAGAAATTATTGTATCGAAAGCTATAGTTAAGTGCGGTAATTGCTTATTCAGCTAGAAACAGGAATGATCCTCAAACATTATTTGGATCAACGAGGAATGCAATTGTGAAAAGTCAAGGAAAATCTTTCTGAAAAAGATTTTGTTTACTCTGTTTAAGAGGAATTCTTCTATTGCATCACAACTTCTCAAAGCAAACATTAAACAAGTCCGAGCTGGACTTACCGTTAAAAATATCTACGAGTATTTTGATAATTTGACAGTTACAATTGAGGTTAGCATCCAATACATACATTTATAATGAGACGAATGTGACTGGAAACCTAGATAAAGCCAAATCTTTATATAGGAAAGAAATTAAACACCCCGATAGAATTTAAATCACTCAAAATTTCTCTAATGTCATGTGGATCAACTGATGGAACTAATAATAATTGGGTAATCAGTCATAAACGTTTGTTTTGAGAACACTATCAAATTTTAAAGCCAACTAAAGCCAACATAATATATACCAATTAAAAGATTTTTATGTTTATTATTAAATTTTGAACGAGTCTTGATTATTTAATCAGCGTATTTTAATTGGTTAAAATGATAACGATTTTTGATGAGTTCAAAAATTTTCGGATAAAGCTTTGTATTTAAAAAGGTAGAAGTTTTTTTATAGTATTTGATCAAAATTTATTAGAAATGCAAAATCTTATTAATATTTTGTAGGAAAATCTTTACAATCATGAACAGCTTTGCTTCTACGAGGCATAAAGTCAACTAAATTGATGCAAACATCAATGGGATTTGAGTGCAATATTTCTTTGATTTTTCTGAATAAATCAGCCTAACTTCTAACTTATGATATCTAATATTTGACGGTCAAAAAGTTGCCATAAAATAATCAACGGCATCTTATTTTAAGCAAGCCACTTAATCGAAACACGAATTTTATACTTTTTGAAGAATTCTTGAACCGATATGCCCGTGTGTTTAGGATCGTTTTCCTAATATTAAATCTATCTATGAGGCATTTTATCTATTGCATGAGGTAACACAATGCTCTTACATATGTCTTATTATATTTCTTGATCAATAGTTCTAGTATAATCGAGCGGATCAACACATTACCTCATCCATGTTTTACAGTAAGTAGTTGGAATTTGGGATCGTATTTTATATCTACTGAATGTCAAACAAACTCGATTCCATCTGATCTGAACAGCGTAAATTTGTTTTTATCCCTAAAAAGATTCTTTGATTAATGTTAACCACTCCAGTTTCGATGCTATAATGCTAATTTTTATCAGCCGTTTCAGTTTATCAGGTTAATCGATTGGTTTTAGGCTGGGCATCTTCTAAACACATTTATATGTCACAAACAAATTTTTAAACTAGAAATACTACAACTCATTCCATAAAAACGTTTCATTTGTTCATTTAAATCAATAGCTGTCAAATAGAGCTTTTTTGTTTTTTATTATCACGAGCGTTTTATCCTGATAATATGTTGTTTTATGTGGTCTTTTTTCGAATATATGTGGATCCCGTAAGTTCATTTCTCTTCATAATTTGTCTATCAGCAGACTTACTTCGATAAAATTGTGTTGTCTTACAAAACGAATTTCCATTTAAACAAATGCTCCATTTGAACACGTCATTAACTTTTTCACTGAAGATGTTGTACTTTTCTTTTACCACGTGATTTCAATCAATTATAAATGAAGCTTTTTTATTATATATATATATATATATATATATATATATATATATATATATATATATATATATATATATATATATATATAAATTACGTTAATATTGTTTACAATATAGCAAAAATGATTATAGTACTGTTTTTGTAATAAATATTCGTGTATCAAAAAAATAGTGTATTAAATATAAATATTTAATACACTATTTTTTTGATACACGAATTTACTATTATGTAAATTTTTACAACCGTGACATAGCTCCACGTTATAAAAGTTACTTGTATTATTCATAAATAGTAAAATATTATATTTAGTAGAAAAATGTTTATTTATCTATTTGAAATGTGCTAAATTGAAATTACACACTTTCGATATCCTTAACATTTTTTGCACCATATTTCAGAATAGCAAATAAAAATAACAAGTACTCATATAAAAAATACAATATTGAATACAATATAATATTGAAAGCATGTTAATACTAGAAGGAACATTTGAGTTGTTTTATACTAACAGAGCTCAATAAACAATTCATACAGCATTTGTATACTATTTGGGTTACTAAATAAAAACTCTAAATATTGAAACATTTACAAAAATTGAATATAGCCTAATCTAAGGGTTGTAAAAAAAACGTTTTCATTTTAAATAAAACCCTGATTGCGGTCAGTTATATTACCTACCGTTATCTATCTACCGTTCAGTTATATTATAAACCTTCTAGCATACTGCAGAGGGTAGTTAAGAATTGAAACGTAAATATGTTAAAAAAAATGTATATATTATTAACGTAAATATTATTGTTTATAAATCTGGCTGTACTAGACATCTCAGATTCCGCTTTCGTTAAATTACAAGAAAACGAGCGAGTCGTACACCACTGGTTAGGTGATTTCAAGGGATCAAATGAAACAGTTCGCGTAAACAAAAGTGCGAGTCAACTAGTTTTTGACTTCCAGTTTTTGATCGGGAATTAGCAAACAACCAATTTTTGATCGGGAATTAGCTGTATTTAAAATAAAAACGCTGAGAGCTTTCTGATAATTTATTGCATCGGATTGAATAATCATTGCATAGTTTCTAAAGCTGTTTTTATATTTTTTATTTCGAGGACTGGAATTTATTGCTTTATTTAAAAGATTTTTTGGCATGTTTAGTCGACTTGTTTTTTGTCTTAAATCTAAACTGTTTTGAATAAAGTTGGTCACTATCTTTAAAAAAAGCTTCAATCTATCGAACATAATTTGCTCAAAAATATTTGAAAAAACTGAAAGTATTGATATTGGTTTATAGTTAATAATATCAATATTTATAAGCTATTTACGAATCATTTATCATCGAATCAATTTATTATAAGTCCATTACGAATCATCGCATAATTTAAATATAAGTCGATTTTTCTACTTACACTATTTCAAGAAAAATACAATTAATATTATTTATATAACAAATACAAATATTAATAGAAAAAACTTTTCAGTTAATTTAAATTAGTTTAAGTTAATCGTTTCTGATGATTTGTTTCCAACTGAAACAAAAGTTTCGAATTCTTTAAACCATATTTCATCATTAATTTATTTTATCTTATTGGTAATATATTCATTATTTTAAATATTTAAGAAATAAAGTTTAATAAAGAGAGTGTATAAATTAAATTCAAAAGCTGTCATTTCATTTCTAAACATTTTTTATATGAAACTTAAATGAATATACTGATTTCACAATTTTGAAATGGTTATTTTTAAAGCTGTTTCATATTTTAGGCTCTTACTGGTTGTTTAAATTATTATTATTATCTAAAGAATTTTTTCTTTCAATTATAATAAATATCGGTGCTGTAAATAAAGTAGTACAACATTTATGCGCATAAAAAGATATAAAGAACTTAAATTATAATAAAAATGCAATGTCTTGATTTTATCATTGTCTTCTTTGTAAAAGTTACAAAGAAGACAATGATAAAATCAAAGTTATCTGTTGTATTTAATTTGCCATTTATCAATTTCGCAAGACCGACTACGCCAGGAAAGAGGGAGGGGGGGCAAGGAGTCTTTAGGCGATTTATGTTACGTTATTCTTTGTAGAGTAACAATAGTTTTGAAATGTTTTTGACTCTACTAGTCTTGTTATTAAATATTTAATACAAGCAGTTATATTGTTTTGTTTGCTTTTCTTTTCAGTTGACATTTACACGCCTTTCCAAATGCAACACCGAATTGTGAGTAAAATATTAGAAGTATTAAATGCAAATGCATCATCAGGTAAAGTATATACAATTAAAAATATTGAAGTGAAATCAACCATTGTTATTGTTACCAATATTCCTACTGAAGTTCATGCTGGTTATATGGATGAGTTTATGGTTCCTTTTGGTAGACTCCTTACAAAAGTACGCATTTATATTTTTATAAAGTTATAAGCCACGCAGAGCAAAGAGATGTTTTACGGGGAATAAAAATATTTTAAAGCAAACTTCAAACTTGATTATGTTCACGCTCTGGTCAAACGAAAATGCTTTGAAAAAAAAAATGTAGTAATTAAAAATACCTTAAAACTTATCCCACCAGTCCCGAATGTGAAGGTCATAAGTTACTAAGTTTTATATTTTATTAACATAAACTTAGTTTATATTTATTGACCGATTTTATATAATAATATTTTTGTGTTGTAAAGTTATGACAACATAAACCCTCCCTCTAAAAATACCCTAATAAAGTATCCTTCCCTAATAAAAAATAATAACAACAAAATAAAAAAATAAGGAGGTTTTAAATTTTACCAAAAAATAATTTTTTAAACAGTAAAATGTTATAAAGTAAAATTTGAAATCATTTGATGAATATAATTTTGTTTAGAATAGTAAAAACTTAGTAACTCAAAGCTCTCATATTTTGAGTTGATGCCATTTTAAAGTGTTTTTATTCACGTGATTAAATCACTCTAATAATTTAACAAGCATCCTCATCTGATATAAGTATAAGAATTAGTTTATATATTATAATATACATATAAAATAAGTATTAATTTAAGAAGAATCCTCATCTGATATAAGTATAAGACGTGCTTAAGTTTGACGTTTGCTTCATGTTTCAGGCTCGTATGAAAAATATTTTTTTTGGAGGAGAGGAGGGGAGGGAGGGGGAAGGACAATACTATTGGGTAAGTTCAATACTTTGAAGGAGAATCAGAATAAAACCTTATGATTTTGCTCGCAAAGTATAATAAAGGGGATTTTGTTCATATTCTATTTGATTTAAAAGGTATATCCACAGCTTTTTATGTTTAGGTGAATGTGCTAACATATTTTAGTTGACACTGAATATCTTGAAGAAACGTCTAGAAATAATTAATCGTGTTTCTTTCAATCAACAATTTTTTTCGTAACTCCAATTATAATGAATGCATCAGTCCTATCTTTATGAATATTTTATAACATAATATGATTCAAGTGTTTGTTAATTGATGCTTATTGAAGGTACGTTTTCACGCCTCTTAAAGCGAAAAATAATTTTTTGCTTACAGCATTAGTTGTAGGCCTAAGCAGGAGAAGTTTCGCCAATATAAGCACTTGAGACATAAAGTGCCTTTCACCCGCACCTAGGTTTTGTAAAAATAAAGCTAATTCATTTGCATTTACTCCTGTTTCTTTCAAGGGGAACTTAGATTTTGCAATTGAGCAATTAATTTATCTTTTTCAAATACTTTAAAAGCATTTTTAAATACTTTAAAAACGACATCGAATTCTTTGTTATAGAATTCCCCAAGTGCATTTATGAAACCTTGTTGCATATTTGTGTAAATAATATAATCTGGGTGATCACAACGAGTTGTTATTATTCAGCTACGTTTTCAAGAACTTCAATATCTTCTCCGTTGTTTCAGGATAGTACATGGTTTTACTAGTATAATAACTGTCTATTCTAAGTGGACATCTTTTCTTCCTTGGAAAATAAACCGTAATCGTATTTGAAAGGGTTTGATAAGTTTCCAAAATAGCTCAAATGGCTGATCATTTCTAATTGACATCAATGTTTTAATGTTATTAGAAGCAAAATGTTGGTCTTTAACAGCAGCGCATGCGCTACCTTGTTCGTGACAGGTTATCTGTTTGTATTAAACTCATTTATTCTCTTATAATGCTTATTAATAAAATCAATATTTTTTATTATTAAGTATTATAAGAGTTATTATTAGAAGTATTAATTAGAAATTGTGTCTCGATAAAAGTGCTCATCTTGGGCAGATGTCAATTGCATCCAGCTACTGTCTTGTAGAAGGCCTTCTAGACGAAGGCTTAAGGGGTAAACAGACTCTAACAGTTGACCAGCTTCGCACCTCTTCTTCATCTATTCTCATTTATTAATAGTAATGAGACCATTGGTTGGACTATTAGTCAGTGTACTGAGTACCATCTGTGTTTTGATTCAAGTTATTTAACTAATTTAAAAAATGAAAAAAGTATCAAAATTTATAAAAAACAAAAAACCATTGTCTGATTTGATGTTATTTTCCGAAAATTTTCCGGAATTTTTCCGAAAATTTCCCTAATTGAAAATTTCCGGGAAATTTTCATTTCTAGTTAGTATTGTTGTAAAGGAGATGGTAATTGCTTAATTTATCAAAAAGGTGTAAGCATAAATAATCAAAAATTGTTGTCAAAGGTACGAACGCAAATCAGGTCTTTTCTATCCTTTATTTTTCTACAAGTTACTGAAAACTGTAAAATTGTATATAAAAAGACTTGATTGAATATTTACAGTATCTTACAATTTTTTCTTGATTTAACAACGTTATTGATTGATGGAAGGCAAATAGTAAAGAAACGTTTTTGCTAAATATAAACTATTTAAAAATATAGTAAGCAATAAAAATAAAGAACTAATGATTATAGATAATACATGAGCTGGTTATTTTTGTAATCTTTTTGAGTGGTTTGGAGAGCATGATACGCTTGTACATAACTATAGTTAAATAAAATTGATGTAACAGCCAAAAAAAACGAGTGCTTTTACACAGCCAAGTGTATTAACAAAAATGCGCACACCGTGAGGTTATTTGCCAGAATACTCACAACAGTAGGTATTCTGGCGAAAAACGTTTGCTCAAAAATCCTTGTTAAGAGAAATCAATCATTTAAGTTTTATTCTAATTTGAAACTTTTATAATCTTATTAAATTGCATTTAGTGTTGACAAATTTTAAATTTACCATTATGTTAAGTGTTTATTTCAGAAAATATTTATAGGTTTTATTTTTTTATTATTATTTAAAAGCTTATAGCATAAATAAAACACCCGTTTTATGAGTTAACGTTAAATGTAATTTTATAACCAGAGAAAAACTTCTCTCTGGTTTTAAAAATACATTTAACAAAATTTAATAAATTAAAAATACGAATTAAACATCTTTAAAGATGTTTAAATGTATTTTTAATTTATTAAATTTTGTTAAATGTATTATTAAAACCAGAAAAAAAATTTTCTCTTTATTATTCATCTTTAAAGATGTTTAATTTGTATTTGCCATTTTGTGGAGTGTTGTAAATTTTACAATACTGCGTCAAGTATAAACTGCCAATTTTTGACCTTTTTTTTTTTTTTTATGTTCTTTATTACAATTTTTAAGATACAAATACAAATATACAAGAGTAAAATTACAAGTGAAGATATCGTAAAAATAAATAGCGTTAACACTGGAAAAAAGAATGGTGTTGTTGTAATATTGCAACGAATGTTCGCAGAGAAACGCATCAACAAACCTCAGTTTATCAGTTGTTAACAATATGTATTAGATAGAATCTGATGTAACAGATGCTGTTATAGTGATAATATTTGAGTTAGTACGCATATATTATATGCATACTAATTCAAATATTATCACTATACCAGCATCAGTTACATCAGGTAAACAATCTTTACGTAAACTAAAATGATTTAAAAACTGATTGTTGGTTTATTCCCAGTGGACACGACACCTAAAAAAGAGGTCATTTCTTTGTGCAAAAGAGGTTCAGAACGTTTAAAAGACGTTCAAAAGACGCTTTTTTTACGTCATGTGCATATGGACTTTAGAATAATAGCGTCTATTGGACACTCATGTTAAAATAAATTCATCTCTGTCGTAAGTAGGGCTTCCAGTTAGAACTTTTTTTTAAAATTTTGAACCTGAACATTTTCAAACTATTACGGAAAAAAGTTCGAACTATTTTGAACTTTATTTTAGTTTTGTTAAAATACACAATAGTAATACAAAGTATGCATAATACAAAGTATGCATAAGAGTATATATTTGTTTATCATCATTAGTTAGAAAAAAAGTAAATAATATCAATTAGTACTCTTCATAGTTTTCTTTAAAAAAGTTAGTGCATTTAAAGTTTTGTCATTGAAAGAACTTCTTATTTTAGTCGCAAAAAGTCCTAGACTAAAAAAAACTCCCTCTGCTTCATCGGATCTAGGAGGAATTGTTTGATGAGCTTTAAAAAATAAATCTAAATTCTTAGGCCTTGCTTTGCTAGCTTCAAAAACAGCCATTTCCTTTTAAAAAAGGTTTGTTGCAATTTTCTGATGGTTAAGTTTCATTCAGTAGCGGGTTTTAGGGGAGACCATGAGGTAGTACGTCGCCTCCTTAGGACATTTTTTAAGATAAATTCTTTTGTAAATGTACTATTATACAAAATTGGACTATTATATTGACAAAAGAAATTGAACATACGTATATGAACTTGATTTTTTTTTTAAAGACTTATTTAACCCCCTGCTCGGCAAATGACAAAACCCGCCCCTGGTTTCATTTCAGTGTCTGATTGTTCAATGAAAAGTTGAATTGTTAAGCTTAATTCAATTTATTTTTGATGTTATCAATTATATTATCAATATTTACTTCCTTGTCATTATCAGAGCTATCGTCAGATGGCTGAAATAATTGTTGAATGAGATTAGCAGCAAGATTAGTTTTTTTTAATTTTGTTGCCAAGTTGTTCATCTTTGTTTAAGACATTATGATGTGACAATAACAAAAAAGTATTATTAGCCAATTATAGCGGGATTAAAGCAACAAAAAGTTCATATGAGACATCAAGCTCATTTTTAGTTAGATGAATCAATATTCACCAATCTATACCAATCAGAACTATTTTTACTTCTCTTTGCACCTCCAAAAATCATTTAAGCATATTAATAGTACTGCTCCATCTTGTCCTTGAATCACAAGTTTTTTCCGAACATTTCAATTACATTTGGTTGAAGGTCATCATAATTGCTCACTGGTCATCTACAAAATTTTTTAGCCAATTTTCTTATTTTTGCCACAGTTTCTTAATATTTAAGTTTCAATAATGTAATAAAATCTTCACTAACTGTATGAGCAGTTTGAATATCATTACCAACTTCAGTCTCATCTTCATCATTACTGTAATCTTGATCATAATCTACGGCTTCCATATCACCATTAACAAGGGTTGCTATCAAAACCTTGTGCATAGGCTTTGTTTATTGTAAAGAGCACATCAGTTACACATAGATGAATAGCGTGGTTGTAACACATTTGATGTTCAGGTTAAGTGTCACGACCATTTTTTTTTATTAAGCTAGCTCCACCAGTAATAGAAGCTACAATGTTTTTGTCCAAATTCAAATTAAGTTTATCACTGATCAACTTAATGGCTTCTGCTTGCATTGTACCTTGGATTTTTAACATTCCGAGCGATTAAAATTCTTCATTATGATGTAGATTTAAGCGTATATATCTTCTGTTTTTTACTGCACTATACTCATCGAAAGTAAAACTAAATTTACGTTTATCTTTAAGTTTTATTTAAAAAAAAACTTATAACTTATTTCTTGACTAACCTGAAGTATTTCATGTCAACATCGCAAATGGTTTGAGGGATTTGATATCCCTGGGCGCGAAATGGTAATTGCTTTCACTTTTAGCAATGGTGTGAAAGTTGATTCCATCAATAGCTGATAGTCAACTCAAAATTTCAGGTAGACTTCTAAAGTCATCCTTAAATAAACTTTAAATTCGTTGTATTTTGGCAGCAGGAATTTTGCTGCTGCCTCGGGCGCAGATTTATTTCATTTAAGAATTTCAATTTTGTGTTTTGTTTTTAAATGCCTTGTAATAACTGTTGTTGTTGAGCCAGGTGTTTTGAGAATAATTTTTGCAGATTTTACACTTTGAACTCTGTAATTCTTCCCAAAATTCGAAATAACTCCATGCCTCAGACCTTCTAGTTGGGCTTACACGTTTAAACTTACCCGTATTTTTTATTTCGTACTAAAAATGTTTATTAGTTAGTCACAGCTTTATTAAATTGTCTTTTTTTTTAATTTAGAAATTTTAACGATCTATTTTATGGGAAATTTTAACGTTTGATTAGAAATTTTAACGATCTATTTTATCACCATGATATTTCTTTGATAATTAAAAATATGTTACATATGTTAATTTTAAAGCATAAAAGTTTTAAATCATTTGTTTTCATAATTTATTTGTGGCTTAAACTTTTTTTAAAAGATTTAAACTCCCATAAAATAACACTAAGAAACAGTTTTTTTTATTTAGCTCGCTTAGAATAAAAGAGTTACAGAATTTATTTTCAAAATTGGTGCTTTAAAAGCTGAATACGCAATTTTTATTTTGGTTTGAATATAGAGCACTAGTCTTTTCTGTATTCTAATAATAAATTGAACTTTCACACAGTGCTACAAAACTCATACAGAGTTGAAGAAATATTTAAACAAAGGCAAAGAAAAGTGCTGATATTTTTAAGGATTGTAAGCTACTAATTATGTAACTTTATAAATCCTCTTCACTTAAATTATATGAAATTTAATATTTTTTATTAAGAAACACAGTATTACAAAGATATTTTTATTAAAAAATAGTTTAACTTATAAGTAACATCTAAAAAGTTAAATCGTACCAAACACAACATTAATAATAGCAGCTAGGCAATAATCATAAACATAAACATAGTGTCAGTTCAAATAAATTAATCGCCGATTAAGTTGCTTATAACACCCAATTGAGTTGCTTATAACACCCAATTGAGTTGCTTACAACTCACAACTGAGTTGTTTATAACACCCAATTGAGTTGCTTATAACATCCAATTGAGTTGCTTATAACACCCAAGTTGCTTATATCCAGTTGCTTATAACACCCAATTGAGTTGCTTATAACACCCAAATGCTTATAACACCCAGTTGCTTATAACACCCAATATATAACCCAGTTGCTTATAACACCCAATTGAGTTGCTTATAACACCCAATTAAGTGATTAAAAAATAGTTATTCTGCAATAAATTAGTTTTTAATGTTCTTTAAAAAATCAACATTTTCTCCTTTTCTTTATGTGTAAGAACGTTTATTTCAATTAAGTATGCTATTTAATTAATCAAAACAAGCCTGCTTGATATTTAACCAAGCTAAAGTCAATCTAAAAAGTTTAAACATTCGATTTATTCTCAAAGTCATTACACTTTTAAATTATTTTATTGCGAAATCTTTAACTCTTTTTCGGTATTTTTTTTTTTTTTTGCCTTTTATAAATTTTTTCACCAAAAATTCATAGCCATGTTTCCTAATGAAAATCTTATGTACATTTGATGATTTTAATTTATATCTTCCAATTGTACAAAATTTGCTGACATTGTCCATAAGCCTAGTCGATAGGTTAAAATTGGAAAATTCAAAAAACAGCCATGAGGTTTAAAATATATGATATTTATGTTAATCTATGGATTTTATTATTTAGATTATTAGATAGGTTTATATCATTTAACAATGTTTTACGTAGTGATGTTGTTTTTTGGAAGTTCTAAAAAGGCGTAATGATCTTATTACAAAGCAGCACAGAACCAACAAATTAAATGCCCATTGCATTAGTTACCATAGTTAGTGTAGTTAACAGAAAAATAAATAACAAAACGCTATATTTTTATTTCAGACTTTTGGAGCACCTCATTAAAATGTTTAAATTCGATAAAAACAAATAACAATAAATTACGCTAAAATAAAACCCGAATTTTTTTCTAACCGAATAAACATATATTAGATGACAAACAATAATAAAATAATGGTTTTCTTTTAGTTTCAACATGTTAAGGTAGAAAAGAAAAACTTGAGGTACGGCTGGATTGTCTACGAAGATCTAAGAAGTGCAGAAAAATGTATAAACTTTATAAACGAAAAAAGTCATCATGTTTTTTTTATGAAAGCTATGCTTCTACCAGAAGATTTTACTTCAGAAGCATGCTTATTTAATTTAAAGACAATACAAGTAGAAGGTTTTCCTAAAGATTTCACGAAAAAAAAAATACGAAGCTTTCTTAGAGATATTTCTCCTGATCGAAGGAACGTGCCATTGAAGTTTGTGATGGTAAATAATTTATTATACTGATTAAAAGGTTTATTAACCATACTTATAATTTGGTTTATTAACCACACTTATACTTCACTCTTAAATAAACTCAAAATGCAGAATAACTGTTTACCTTAAAAATGAACATTTTTAAATTCAAAACGTGACAGGAAATTGGAAAAAAAAAAACAGGAATTGTTGAGTTTTATTTTTGTGTTTAAAATAGATAACATACTGAAATGAATCTTAATTCAAACTTAGTTGTGTTTATATTTAACAAAAACGCTTAGCATAAAAAGGCAATGATTGGGCCCGAGAAAAACAAAAAACCAAAAACTTGTGTTTCCAACACCTCTTATTTAACTCTAAACTTTATTTCTCCCTCCTCCACCTCTTATCCAACTCTTATCCACGTCTAAGTTTGTGTTACTGAGTTTGATAATGTTACTAATCTAAACTTAGCCAATATTCTTCGACAGATTTCATCAGTTTTTTTAATATTTCAAATTAAGACAGTAAAATTTCTAAACCATATAAATAAGAGGATTTAAAATACGGGATTGTTGCAGCTATTTTTAGTTTATGAGATCAGTTACTTTTAGGAATGAGGCAAATCTAACATCTAGGTATTTTTAATCCACCTATTGAGAATTGGTATATTAAAAATTAAAAAATCTCAAAACCTTTGCCCGTTAAACACTAAAAAAAGCAATAACAATCCGTTCAGTAATGAGTAAATCAAATAATTGATCGTTTACTAAACTTTATTTGTTAAATAATATTTAAATCAATTAAAATACTTTGGAATTGGACACGAAAAAACTAATTTAAAAACAAATAAATGAATGAATTAAAGAAAATGGATTTTTTTCTCTTGTTCAAGCTCTTTTTAATGAAGCACTTTACCACACTTACCTCAACAACATGTTGCTAAGAAAGCATATAGTTAATAGCAATATTTTTCTATTTATTTTCTAAAAAGTTATTAAAAATTAATTAAAACAAACAAGTAAACAAGTATGAATTAAAAAAAGTATTTAACATGTAAGATTATAAATAAAGGCCTAGTGATGTAAAATTATATATGTGGTAAAATAGTGTAAAGATATGTTTTAAGCATAAGGAGGCATCCATATATTACGTACGCAAAAATCCCCAGATTTAGACCACTCTCATCCCCCTGTTGCACTTCATACATTTTTATAACCTTAACAGGCCATGAACGTAAGCGGCGTTTACCTTTTATTATTGGGCAAAAGAATGTGAACTGCCACCTCAATCCGTCAACACTTTTACGTTTGCATACATATATTTAATTGACTCTTCCGCTTCCCCATATCCACTCATACGCAAATTACTCAACTTGGGACATCCCTTTTTCCCTCGGTATGTATGTAATATATGGATGGCCCCTAATAATAAGAATGACAATGAAGTTTTATTTGCTTTAAGCTCTTCGAATTAATTACTACAATAGACAAAATAAAAAATATATTTACTATATATTAATGAGTAATATAATTAGCTAAAAACACATATGTTTAAATTTTTTAGATTAAAAAAATTGAAGCAGAACAAACTTATCATAGAGTGCCTAATATGGTATTTATCAACTTTGATACCCCGAGAAAAGCCATTGAGATCTTTTTTTTACTCGATAATTGTGTTTTTCCATACAACCAATTAGAGTTAGTTAAGTTTAAAGCGTATTTTGCTCTTCCCTATCAATTTGATTTTGGAAACAATAAACAAGACGCGAGACTTGGAGAGGACATAGAAGAGAGATCGAAAAAATCTAACCATACTAAAAATAACCAATTTTTACAATCTTTTCAACCATCAATTTTTGAGTTACAGAAGATAAATTACATTGATCAATCGTTTTTTCATCGTCAGTCATTTCATACATTACCCTTTATAATACGCCCTGAATTATGCCCTGCTTTAACATACCCACTTTTACCAGCATTTGCTCCACAAAATACTTTTTCAAATCTGAATCAAAACCGTTTGCATGGAAATCAATTGCAAAAAATTCAATATCAAAACTTTCAACAATGTCCTTTTATTTACCCTTTGTCTGCAAGTCCAATGTATCCAAATAATTTCAAAGAAAATGTGTTAAACGTGGCCTCCGATTACCTCGTTCAAAAGAAGTTCGTGGAGTTACAAACATTTAATCCTTTGCAACACACAGCTGTTTTTCCAACACCTGAAACAATGTACATTCAAAACGATTTGTTTTATATACCACAGGAAAAATATATTTTGCAAAACAAGTTTTCGTATCCTTCAAGTGAATTAGATCAAGAGAAACAAAATGATGAGCAAATCTCACAAAAATATGTTCAACAAAATACGGAACACCAGAAAGAAAACGATTTCTTAATATATCAAAATGTAGGAAACTCAAACTCGTCTGATTTACAGAGTTGCGATAAAAATTTTGGTTCTGACAACAAAACTGATGTTACAGACAACGCTCCAATTATTTTACAAGATGTAAACAAAACAAAAACTAACTTGTTGTATCAAGAATGTCATATTAGTTCAGAGGAAAACATAGCTTTTAGTAATCAACAAAACATTTCTTGGGAAAATGGCAAAAAAAGTTCTAAAAGGTGGAGCAAAAGAAAGAAGGTTGATAAAAAACAAAAGGACATAAATGGCTCCCATTTAAGTCCTCAATCAACCATTGATGTGAAAATGCAACTTGTAAAAATACAACAAAATTCAATGCTTAATAAGATAGATAAGCTTGGAACAGAAATAAAAATTTATGAAAAACTCAAAAAATTTAATGATATTAAATATTATAAGAATCAAAGTCATCCGAATTCCGTTGTTGATATTGAAAAAAGTACTTTTGAAAGTGATAAAACTGCAGAAAGTGTTGCTGTTGTTGTTAGAGATCCTATAATAAAAAATGATAACATAAAAAAATATAATAAATTGTGTAAAGGTAACGTTGTAGATAATGCAATGCAAACTTCAATCAGTCTCAAAACATATAACGTGAAACAAAGTACTTTTAACAGTGGAAATGCTGACAATAAAGAAATATACAAATACGAAAACGAAAAATGTGATCAAACAATAGTTTTTGATACAAACTCTAAAAGTCACCAACAAAGTCAACCTAAAGAAAATATGCCTAATAAAGAAGATATGCTTTCATCACTGTTAAAAATGTCAATACTTGATTCTAATTTTGAAGAAGAGATAAGTATACAAAAAAGTCATCCACTAGACATCAAACTAGATGACAACATAAAAAATAGTCGATTATTATCCTTCATGAAAGGAATTTGTTATCAAAGATTTTGTCCAAATAAAATGATTAACAGATTATTTTGATGCTTCCATTAGAAAAGTGATAGTTATCCGAGAAGATTGAACTGATATATTACTATTGACAATATTAAAGATTGTATGGGTATCTTTCATGTGAGTTTGTCGCTGAAACTAAAATATATATTTGTTGGTTAACTGTTACTATTGAAAATATTTATAAACAATAAAACTGTTTCTCAAAAATTTTTCTACATTAAACAATAGTATTAAATAATTTATCTAGCTCGCCGTAAATTTTAACTAGACTTTTATTTTTTTTATTATTTTTTTTTTGGATTATCTATCTAGGCCCTCAGCAAGATATCGAAATATTAGCTTGTTTTGATAATGTTTTTGGTAAAATAAGGTTATTTATTAAGTTTTTAGTTTGGTATTTGTGGTTTGAAGAAAACAAGTAAGTTTGGAATATGCTTGGTTGCATTTCATTTTAAACTTAAATTTAAATTATAGTACGTTAAGAACATTTATTTCATAGACATCAAGCACTCCAAGCTCTCTTAGTAGTGGTCTGGCATAAGCGAATTTGTTTGCATTTAATTTCAAGCGACTTGCTTGTTTTTGTATTTTGTAGATCGTATTTAACTTTGAACGATAAGTACTTGCCCAGACTATGTTGCAGTAGCTGATGTAGCTATAAATAAATGCGAAATAAGTATTTTTTAAACAATTTGTATTCAGGAGATGTTTTGTTTTATACATAATACCAATAACTTTAAATGTTTTATTTTTTTATTAATTTGGTATGATTACTCAAGCTTTTTTTTTTTTTTTTTAATTTACTTCACCTCCTCAAGGCCGAGAAGGCCACTACAGACAAGGAGGCTACTTATTTTGTGGCTATAACCCTCTCTCAACTCTATAACTCCGAAACACGAACCTTGACGAGCAAGGCCGCTGCGCGGAGAAACGAGTTGAGCGCGGTACTACCAGGGACGTGGTGGGGATCGAACTCGGAAGCACTCGTTTATGAAGCGAGCGCTCTACCACTACACCACTACCGCATTAATATGTTCATTAAGAATTATTCCCAAAAACTTGATTGAGTATTCTCGTTTAAGTTTAGTTTATTCCCAAAAAATTGAATGAGTGTTCTCGATTAAGTTTTATCAATAAGTAGATCAGGTAGTTTTAAGGGGAGGGTTTCAGATTTTGATAATTTTGTAAAAATAGTATTTTCATACTTTTCGACATTTAGGGAGTGTTTGTTGGCCTTAAACCATTCGTTCAGGTTCTCAAGTTCTTAATTAACCGTGTTAAACAATAGGCTAATGTTTTATTAAATTTTAGATTGCTTTTCTTTTTTTTATTAAATAAACAGCTCGATGTAATTAAGAACGGTTTTTTATATTTTCTTGTAGATTTGAACCATCGCAATGGAATAAAAGAAATTTTTAGAGTTATGCGATCCATATCTAGTACGCAATCTATATCTATATAAAAACAACGATTACCAATAAGGTTTTTTTAAAATAATAAAAAACTAGCTGTCCTTCCTCGTAAAAAACGGGTAATGTGAAGTCTGTTCCACACCGATCATTTGTATATTTATTCTTTGAACGGCCTATTCATTTCTAATAGTAAACGGTAAAAAATAAGTGGTTTAAAAATTTTGGCTTGACATTTCTCCCGGTGTTTTTTGAAATTTTAAAGTTTTTCCTTAAACTCCCACGGCCGAATTTTTCTATTTTCTCTCAAAAATATTTTTTTGATGTTGGCATAAGCATGTTGAAACCTTGAGTTTTGTTTCACCTACATAAAATTTTCTTCAAGAACACTCCAGTTTTTAGACTTCAGCATAAGAGTTGATGGGAAGTCGAAGCTTTTTTTTTTGAGTTGTTAATTGTCGAAAAAGTTTTTTGATGATTTGAAAACTGCATTATACCCTGCATTTTAAATATCTTTTTAAATTGAATACTTACTTTTAGTACCCATAATAGAAAAATATGATTAAGTTCTAGTTTTTTGATGTTATTGTTGATTATTTTGCTTTTTTTTTTCTTTTTTTTTTGACCATGTTTTTAAAATATTTTTTTATCATGAACATTTTCTACAAACATTTCTGTAAGAAACTTTAGTTCATGATTTGTATATTCTTTACTGCATAATGCAAAGCTCTTTAGCTAAAACCTTATAGATATGTTCATAAAAAATTTTAAACCATGGATGTATATGAGACAATCTCTTATACGTCCATGGTTAACCGAATAAAGTTATATACTCCATAATTTCTAATTACTAAAATGTAAAATTCTAATAATTAAAGGAGGGGGGGGTGAACGTGTATTGGTTTACCTCTTCAGGCCTCCGTTTATATAATGAATCTTTATAAGTTCTTCGTTTAACTTTTAAATTTTATATTTTTATAAATTTCAATTTATTATCTAGTCTATTATAATAAAAAGCATGCCTAAAAAAAGAACTTACACCCAAAAAAAAATAAAACTAACGCCAAAGACCAAGCCGCGCTTGCTGCGGAGTAATAAAAAGTGGTGAGCTTTCATTAAACAAAGCTGCTCAATCATTCAGCATGCCAGTTGCAACCCTTTATAGTCATATTAACGGCATAGTTGAAACAATTGGCAGTGGTTCAAACACTAGATTGCAGCATTATTTTGAATCAACTCTGGTTATATTTATACACTTATCAAATTATTCAATTAGGGCTTTGGTAGAACTTACAACGACGTCATCACTTTAGTTACCGACTACTCGCAATACCAAGGTCAATCTCATCTGTTTTCCGACGGTGCAGCAGGGAAAGAATGGTACAAAGTGGAGTCATAAACTAAGCATTAGAGCCGATGGCAATATTTCATCACTCAGAGCCGTTTCTTACAAGCAAGAAATAGTAGCTAAGTATTTCAACACATTGCAAAGAGAAATCAACAAAGCAGGTATTAACGAAAACACTTTATGTCATTTGTAGAATTTTGATGAAATTGGCTTTTCTGGTAATCATGGAAAACAAGACATAGTTTGCAGACGTGATGCTAAACGACCATTGGTATTGGTTAGCAATTATAAAAAATCAAAAATACAGTTGGAAATGGCCTCCATGCTACTAGTTGTCGTGTTTTGCCATAAAACATTTTATATTAAAAAACGTTTGTACGAAAAATGGTGCTAAAGTGGTCTAGACGATGACGTACACGCAACATCTCTGCCCGGATGGATAAAGATAAACAATTCGTGCAGTGGCTCACTGCACGAACTGTTTATCTTTATCCATTAACAACAACAACAACAACAAAAACAACAACAACAACAAAAACAACAACAACAACAACAACAACAACAACAACAACAACAACAACAACAACAGCAGCAAAACAAGTCAAGTGTAAAAAGTGTCGTTTTGTTTTGAGCGAAGCTTCAGCAAGTCATAATAATGAAAGACACCGGTGTGAAAATTAAAAATGCAAGATTTGGCTTTATTAAACATGCATTCCAAAGCGATATATAAAAGGCACCAAGTTTTATTGTACCAAAAAGTACAGCGCAAGTGACAACTCAACTCAACCTCCAAAACCTCTTAAAGACTCAACATCATTACATAAATAAAAATAATAATTTATTAACTGTTTTTTTTTTATTTTTATTATTGGTTGTTTTTTAATTGTTATCATAATTTGCATTTTTTAATTAAGTATTTTTTTAATTACACATCAATTAGTTCACGGTTTGTAAATTTGGGACCCTAATATCAATGAAATACCCTTTTAAGGGGGATAGTACACGCCAATGGGAGTCTATATTGAGTTGTTTTGAAATCGGGGATTAACATCAAAAAGAATTATTTGATCATGAAGGTTTTTTAAAAGGGTTGATTTATGAACCAAATTAAGCTGCCTATTAATGGTACTAAACTTGCTCCCTTAATTTTTTTTATAAAATAAAGATTGTAGCCCATGAAACGTAAAATGTTTATTATTTTATTCATTTTTTTTGAAATAATTCTTTATTGAGCGTTTTGATCAGTGCAAGCGTAAAATCAAACTTTCGAAACTAACGAAAAGAGTAAACAAATATATTCTGGGAAAAGGCAGTACACTTTAAGTTTTTGAAGGAAAACATATTTTTTTGTGAACAAATATTCAAGAATTTAAAGATGCCTACATTTGCCAAAAACCATGAAGAATGTAGAAAATCTGTTTGTGTTATCTGTATGAAGAAAGGTGATCAAGAATTGACTGAAAACTTCAAAGCTAAAATTCTTCAACAAATTCAGAAAGAAATCAACTTCAATGATGACAGAGTACCATTGGCGACCTGCATCTCCTGCAGATCTCACATTGGAAAGCTGTGTGATGGTAAAACAAATGTTGTGCCTCAGATTTATGACTTTGAATCAATTTCGATCAAGCCTCTTACTCGTTTTTCTACAGTCTGTGAGTGCTTGATTTGTAAGATTGCCAAACTCAAGGGAAAAGAAAGGCATCCATTAAGCAAGGTTCAAGATTCAGCACCAAAAGTTCCCCAACAATCTTCGCAAAATGCAGAAAAGCATTGTACTAAGTGCTTGTCAGTTATTTGTCGTAGGCTTCCTCACTACTGCACTCCTGGAACACGCTATGAAAATTTGAGAAGAATGGCTGCCTCTGATCCCATTGGTGCAGAGCAAGTTGCAGCAACAGTTTTGGCATCAAAAAGTGCATCTCCTCATGGCACCATCAGACTCAGTCAATCTTGTGGAAAGTTATTGCCATTGAGAAAAGGTAATAGTGCTTTTGAACTTTAAATGATTAAATTAAAATATAAATATTATCTATTTATTTTTCAAAAAACTTACTTAATTTAAAAATAAAATTTTCTCTGCAAATATATTTGCAGAGAAAATTTTTTTTTTAAATTAAGTAAGTTTTTGAAAAATATTAATATTTTTTGAAGGTCATGAACTATTTTTTAAATGCAATTTTTATAATTAGGACGTTCATCAGCAAAGCAACTTTTCAAAGGGCCTCTCACAACGCAGAATATGGCTCAAATTCAGCAGAATATAGGACTTTCAAACAATGGGATGAGAAAACTTGGATCGACACTAAATCAAATCAGTCCTATCAGATTGGTGGAGCCAAGTTTTCAGCAAATATTCGCTCAAGCAGGCCAAAAACTTTGTGATCACTTCACTGTGAGCAGCATCACTCTTGCTGAAAACAATCAAATATCCCAAGTTGTGCATTGTCAAAACCTCAGTAGTCTTAGTGATG